ACCAAAGAGAGAATCTCTATTTATTTTGTATTTTCAAATATGATTATTTAAAAATTAATTTTTTATTAGGTTATATTTGATTACTGTACATTATAAATACTAAATATAATGAAGGAAAAATATTTTTCTTTAGGGAAAATATCTAAGATTGCATAAGAATGTCGACCTACAATAAAACAAGTCAGCTAAATAAGGAAATTTCTTTTAAAAATTAAATAATTTTTGTGATTTTCTGTATAAAAAATCTGTATGCATATTTATAAAATTATATAGACCTACAAAATAAAACATTAAATTTGTTTTGATAAAATTAAAGCATTTCTTTCTTATTTTTCCGCTCTGTATGCACTAAAAAGGTCTTTTTTCAGGCCCAAAATGGGGTGGGTGGATGGTAAAGGCCGGGGCCCGACATATCCGAGACAAACCACCCCCAAAAATTCCAGAAGTTTATCGATCGCCCGAAGTCGATCCCGGGTCTCCCGGAGCATTTTCTTTCTTCGAAAAACATAGTGTAATAACTTATCTTTTATAAAGATAGATTTATTTCTATTTATCCTATTAAAATAGAATTCTTAAAATTGCTTTTAACAAAAGATTTTTTTTCTTTTAATTGAAGTATCGTAAAAATGTTTATGATAAGAAAGTGTAACGAAAATAAGAATTTTAAACTACGAATTTACTACAGTTTCAATTCTGTAAACTTTCGCACGAATATGTTGTTAGTAACTAGAGGTTGTACGCTCGATTCCTTTAACCCTTGACATCTATGACGTTAATGCCAATAAATATAGCAAATAATAACTAAAGTGTTCTCTACGATCCAAATCTTGATATTGTTTAAGATCTTTTGAACTTATTCTGATAATTTTTATTTTTCTTCACTTAATTTATGTGTAATTTGAATGATATATATATACAGTTCTGTGTCTTGTGTTTGTTAACAAGTAAGATGAATTGACAAAATTTCGAAACAGTGTTTGCAGATAGGCCAATCTAGACCTTGGAGGTCTTTCTTCTTTGATAAACAGGTTGATATTAATATAATACACAAATCTGTAAATCAGTAAATTTAAATCAGTAATGTTAACAAGGAATGATATTTAAATTCAATACACTATGTTTCTGTCAATTAAATGTTTGAATACTGTACTTGCTTAAAAATTAAAAAATAATCACACAGGAATGACGAAATTTTTACGGTAAAATTTAGAAGATATGCCAAATTAATTAGAATAAGGGGAGACAAAATAATTATCATTAGTCTATATAAATTTTCTGAATAAATTAAACTTTTCGAACGAACTATTCCTAATTGTAAATAATATCTCAGAAAGCTTCAGAGGGTGAAGAAAATCATGCTCCACACATACACACACCGACAGAAACCCGTAATTCGATTTTTAAAATTCTAAACCGTACATTAATATGAAAATAAAATAGATTTCTAACGCAAAAAATCTTTGTTCTATCTGCTTCCGTTTCCGAGGACTTTTGAATAAGGATTTTTTTCATGGGAAAAAACATTACATTTTAAACTTCATCTGCTGGAGATTGCGTGCATAACCAAAAAGATTATGATCAGCCTTAAACGAATTTATTTTAANTCGATAATGTAAATGTCTGTTATAAATTAAAACAGAGCTTCTTTTATAAGAAGAAAAATTTGATAAATTTATTAAAAATTGAATAAAGATTTATATGTATTTTATGAATATTTTTTATAGATATAAGCTTAAATGTTATTAATTTTTAGTATTTTATAACGTTATTATACACGTTAATGCTGTTGATCATTTTTTTAATATTATTTTTTAAAATATATACAGTAAAACATGTGTAAAACGGAATTGCTGAATATTTTTTTTTTCGGTTTAACAGGTTTTCGTTTATTATTCTCAAGTGAAAAGATATATATGAATTATTTTATGTCCCTTCTTCTTCTTTTTCTTTTTTATCCTTCTTTATTGTTCTTCACCCCTTTCTTTCCATCCCTCTTCTACCATTCTTCTCTTCATCCTTCTTTACCTTCACTCTTCTACCATTCTTCTCTTCATCCTTCCTTACCCTCACTCTTCTACCATTCTTCTTTTCATCCTCTTTTACCTTCAATCTTCCACCTTTCTTCTCTTCATCCTTCTTTACCTTCACTCTTCTACAATTCTTCTCTTCATCCTCCTTTACCTTCTCTTCTACCATTCTTATCTTCAACCTTCTTTACTTTTTCTTTTCTACTTCATACTTCTTCTCTTCATCTATGACAAGAGCATAGAAAATCGCTTCGTTCCAAAGAATACTTCGGTTTAGACAGGTTTTTCTTTTATTTAGGTACCGTTTTCGACAGGTTTTACTGTGTATTTTTCCTTATATCGTATTCTAACAATTGGTAATATAATAACGTACTTATTATCATATTATCAATCGTAAATCGCGCATGAATATATTAAAAATTAAAATTTATTCAATTTTTTTTTATCGTCATCAATGGAAACGTTGATAGCTAATCTACTTATTATTTTTTTTTTCATCTTTAAATTGGAGAAACTTCATTTAGTTTTTGCTATACAAAATCTGGTTCCAGCCGGATTCAGAGCACGTGGTCAGTATCAGATACGATATACTAACATACTCGATTAGCCAATAGAAGGAGCGAGTTTGTCACTGGGGACCAATAGGAGTTTGTATAATTTACACGCCCACTGGCGGGAAAATTGTACATAACAGTAGGAAAATCGAGAGAAATTTAAATTTTGTAACTTTCCGAAAAGTTGAAGATGTCAACAATAATAAAGGAAAACTTTCATACCAATAAGAAGTTAATCGATAATTCTTTAATTATTTTAGATCCTTCCGAATTATATCGCCCAGAACATAAAAAAACAGAAAAATTCAGAGTTTTTTCTAATAATAAGGTAAGATTTTTTATTTGATTATGGAGAATGGTTAGACCTATAAATAAAATATAATTTTTATTCGTAAGAATGATCCAATTCAAAGAAGAGTCAGAGAAACTTACAGGAAAATGCATAATAACCAAACTGTTGATTTTGTACGAGACAGAGTAAGTTTCGGAAATTTTCTCTTTCTATATAATAAAAAAGCTTGTTGAATTTCCTTTTATACTTACTACTGTATAGACCTATAACTTATAGTGTGTGTAACTATATAGGCCTACTATAACTTTATAGTATATATATATATACTGTATAAGTGATTTATTCAGTATATTTAGTTACTTAAGAATTAAAATTTAATCGCCAGTATTAAATGGCTGCTTATAATAATTTAGTTTTGACCTTTTTCCTAATTTTTTTTAATGATTGGATAAATTGTGATATAATGTATTATTACGGAAGTTGCGTGCAGACTTTATAACTACAATATTTGCATATATAATGCGCATAATAATCATATTTTTTATATTTATTATAATTGAAATGAAGACATTTTTGCCTTCATTTCAATTATGTCCATTAAAAAAATTATTGTAAATTTCATAAATTCAGAAGAAACACTGAAAAACAAAGGTGTCTTCATAATTTGTCTTCTTTCTCTCCTCGGAATCGGATGTAGGCCTAATAGCCTGAGCATGGCCATGCGTATTGAAGTTAATAAAATAAAGATCGGGCTATTTTACATGATCCAGAGGTGTGAAAGAGGACAAATTACGAAGAGACTTACGTTTTCTAGACCTGAACTTGTGACATTTTCTACTATAGTCATGATCTTGCTGATAGGGAAGGCAAGAGGTAACTTCCTCAGGCGCCAAATTGGAAAGGATACTAAAAAAGCGTCATAAAGTTTATAGAAATATAAGTACATTGGAGCCATTCTTAGGCTTGCTTCAGACTTCAAATTATTCGCAATTTTATAAAACAAATTTCTAACGTGAAACTTCTCTTAAGTTTATACTGGTACGTTATTCATAAAGTTATAATTGTAAGTTCTTATAACGTAAAATACGTCGTGCCCAAACTCTATATTATAAAATTTTACTTATAATGGATACAATGAATTACAATTGAATCATATTTTAAACAAGATTTGTTTTATATAGAATGCAAAATGTATGAGTTTGCTCTCTAAGTATAATTTAATTTTACAATAAAAATGTAAAAGATAATCTATATAAATTCATATATTTTTTTAATAGCTGGCATACTGGACAAAATTTGACAAATACGAAATGACAATTATGGATGCATTAATGAAATTAAACGTTTTGATAGACGAAAGTGATCCGGACATCGACCTGCCAAACATATTTCACGCTTTTCAGACTGCAGAAAAAATTCGTAAAGCGCATCCGAATCACGATTGGTTTCATTTAATAGGTTTGATCCACGATTTAGGAAAAGTTATGGCTCTCTATGGAGAACCACAATGGGCAGTCGTTGGAGATACTTTTCCAGTTGGATGCGCTCCCGCAGATTCAGTCGTTTATAAGTCTGTCACTTTTGAAAACAATCCTGACATGAAAGATTCCAGATATAACACCAAATTTGGCATGTACAAAGAGAATTGTGGACTCGATAATGTATTAATGTCTTGGGGACACGATGAATATATGTATAGAGTTTTATTGAATCATGGCACTGCTCTACCCGAAGAAGCTCTGAGTATAATTCGATTTCATTCATTTTATCCGTGGCACACTAGTGAAGACTATTATCATCTTTGTAATAATAAGGATATTACCATATTGAAGTGGGTTCAGGAATTTAAGTAAGTTTAAATTTTTATAAATATCATTTGATGAAATTATTCAAATTTATTAATATTTTCTTATCTCTTTTTAGTAAGTTTGATCTATATTCAAAGTCACAAGAAATTCCGGATGTAAAAGCTTTGACACCCTATTACCAATCATTAATCGATAAATATATTCCAGGTTTAGTAAAGTGGTAAAAAAGTTAAAACAAATAAGAGTTTATTGACAGGAATAATAGATCTGATTCGATGTTATTTAATCACTATGTGATTTTGATCTTATATATGCATAACAATCTTTTTTTTTTTAATTTACCACGTGTTAATTTAGAACTCTGAATTCTAACAGTTATCTGTATATAAATTATATTTTATATTGAATGTTTTCATCGATATTAATAATTAATAATAATATTAATTAATAATAATTGATATTAATAATAATATAAATTCCAATGTTTGTTGATCGCCAAACAATCTTTGCATACGTATTTGTTTGTAGAGAACTAATAGTAATAATAAGTAATAAAGACTCTTCAATAAAAGCTAAAGATTTTATCTTTATAGAACATTTTATTGCAAATATCTCAGATAATCCTCCATTAGTCCAAAACAATGATCTTTTGGAATTAATTTTTTCATGCACATTATTGATTCGATTTTTCTCGATAGAGTCACGATTTAAGTTCTGAGTTTACTAGTCCATCTGATAGACGTATTATTCTATCAATATGAGCAGTATGGCATGGAATATTATTTTGTTGATAAAAGCATGGGTCAGCTCCAAACTATGCCAAAACATAAGTAAGATATAACTGTACAGGACGGCTAACGAAATCTTGGTATTCATGATTTTGTCCTAAACAACTAATGGTCCAAGGCCAATTATGAACACCCGGTTAAAATGGCAGCCTACCACTCTGGGGGACTCGGGATCGAATCCGGAGGAGTCGAAAACCCAGGAATATTTGGGGGTTGATTCGTCCGATATGTCGGGCCCCATTTTTTATCATTTTTTATCATTCGGCCGCCCCACTGTGGACTGGCCGAGCCCATAAAAAGGTTGCTAAAAGAAAAGCCCTCTTAGTGTCCACAGGACGGAGAGTTTAAAAAAAGGCCAAAGTATGAAAATCAGTCCCAGATCACCACACTAGAGATATTAATCGGGAAATATATCACTTGATAAACTCAAAAATATCAGTATAATAGTGATATATTTTTCGATTACCTCAAAAAGTTTGATTCGATATATTTCAATAAGAATAATTTTATTTAATGTAGTGTTTTTCAATCTTTTTCTAATAGTGACACCACAACTTGGGACTTTTTGTCTTGCGGCATCTTTACTTCTTTATTAGAGTTATTGCGCTTTTAGTAGCGTTAGTAATACATCTGGAAAGTATTATGGCATAGCTCAGCACTATACTTCGAGGCACTCCTAGTGTCTTTGCGCATTACTGGTCTAACGTCAATAATATGTTCAAAATATTATTATAACATGATCAAATTTATAAATGTGCATAGTTCCGTAATAAAATAAAATCTGATAACAATATTTTTGAAAATCTTGACCTAATATTAAATTTAAAACTGGTACAAAATTTAAAACTTTTTAACATGAAATGCGCATACTCCCAGAAGTATGAAATACTAATTCGAATAAATTGGCTAATTTCTATATAAACAAAATGTAATTTGTTGCTTTTTTCATTACAGAAAAGATAAACTGAAAGTAGAAGCTCAAATATGTGGCTATTGGTGTTATAAATGTTCTTATTTAAAAATATGAATTAAAGAATAATAAATTAACTAACTTTTAATATAAAATGATAATATGTAAAATAAACATATTTTTCCATATGAAACTAAAAAATTAGAAATAAAAATGTTTACTAATCGCTTAAATTTTAATTCGGACAGTGTCGGCCAGTACCGAATAGCTCTGTTCTGAAGCCTATTAAGATTTTAACGATAATATAAATTGTTTTGGTGATTTTTATTCAAGCAAATAAAAGTACAAAATTCTTTGACAATAGTAGAATAGTGAATAGTACTATCCAAACAAAAACATCTGAGATGTAAAAAAATTTCGCCAAGTAAAAATTTATGACAATTTTGACCGTCGTCTAAATTGTCATAAATGGCGAAATTTTTTTTTATCACAGATGTTTTGGTTTGGATAGCAATTGTTTTTGTTTAATTAATTTAATAATTGTATTATTACGTCTTGTCTCGTAGTTGGGCATGAGCTTCTAGGCTATATCGCCCCGTGGTAAAGTGCCATGTAATAGTAGTTGTATGCGTTTATGGTGGTCGTAATGCGGGGAATAATGCCTTCCGGGAGGTCTTTTAAAGGTAACTGGCCCCTATTCAGGCGTTACAGACGTGGAAAAAACTCCCTTCCGGGCGAGACGCGACTGAACTCCAAGTGTTCCAGGGAATGGAACCGCTTGGCCACTGGTTGGCCGTATTATTATGTCAAAACATAAAATTGGTCGGAGCTCGGCGACCGCCGACTGAACGTGTCGCCGACCAACGTTCCGCCGACCGACGCTTTCAATACGCCGTGCCGTTTAGAAAAATCGATATAAAAAGTTTTAATTCGCGTAAATTTGAGTTTTTGTAATTCTGAGTAACATTTTGAATAAAATTTGAATTTCCGTACATTTTTATCTTTATAATTACAATGTATAAAATTAATCCGTAAAACTGAATTAGCTCTATGAGAAATTCCATGAACTTTGACCTATTGACCCGGAAGTTTGACGAGCACCTCACTGATAACAAGAAAGGCTTTAAGTTTAAAATTTGAGCTTTCTAGACCCTGTAGTTATTTTCTCTACGAGTTTCTGCAGTGCCAAATGATGAAAATGATTATAAAAATACAATTTTTTTGACGTTTTGTGCACTTTTCAATTGCTTATATTTCGGCAACCGCTTTATACAAAATCTTGAAATTTTGCACATTATCTAAATAAAGAATTTTCTTTCGAATGAGATATTCGGAATAACTTCAGTTGTTTGGAGGCGGAGAGATCGATCCACGAAAATCGGCATCTCTAATTCCTTTATATGTAGTCCAACAGTGACTTTCCTATTTGGCAGGGAGTTACTACCTGATAACCAATAATAACAATATTTTTTTTTTTCAAAAAAGTGAATACTACGAAAACATAGGTACAAATCTTTGAAACATTACAAATTTAATTCACAGAAGTACCACAAAATGTCTTCTTTAATTAACGTCTTTTTAAACACCTCGGGAATAAACAGTTCTTACGGGGGAGTCGAACTTTCGTTATAATCTACTTTCCCCGTCTCAATGTAAAAACAGTAAAATCATTCTCTGGTTACGGCACAATCATAAAAATTAATTTACAAAAATATTAATTAAAAAAATTAAAAATGCCAGGACGAATTAACACATTATAAATTTAATTCATAGAAGTATTATAAAATGCCTGCTTAATCTAACTTTTTTTTTTTTAAATTAATGCTTTTGTAAATCTTTGAAAGCTTTCAATGAACTTCACTGCTTATAATTGTCACAAATAAAATATAAAATATTTCCTTGATCCGCACATTTGATATGTGACCAACCCTTAAATGCAATATAGGCCTACTGTACTCTGTCTTCTTGAATAAGCTTTTAATCCTGATCTCGCATATAAAAAAAAAAAAAAAATACAGTGGAACCTCGGTATACGACCTTAATCCGTTCCTGGTGTTTGGACTTATACCGAATTGGACGTATACCAAACCAACCATTTCCATAAGAAGTAATGTAAAAATGATTAATCCGTTCTCATGTAAAAAAAAAAAATGGCTGGCTTGAAACACCTCGCTTTCCTGGCTAGTTTCTGCTTGATTTTTCATAAGAGCAGCATGTATCCTTTTAACTTTCTCGCAAATAATTTCTTCCGATACGCTGTCGCCGGCATACTGTTTTTCCGTTATCCAAAGCAAAAGCAATTTCTCGACACGATCTAATGTCTTCGATCTATGTTCAGAAATTGATTTAACCCCTTTCGCAACGTTAGCAAATTTAATAATGTCTTTATTTTTCACGATTGTCGATATCGTCGTTCTCGGAATACGGAATGCAACAGTTAAATCTCGTTAAATCTCGAACACGCGTGCCACCTTCATATTTCTCAACAATCTCTTTTTTCAGTTCTGTTGTGATTCTAGTCATTTTTTTATTTTTCTGTTGCCCTTTTGCAATTCATGATTAATAAAAATAATAAAATGTTACTTACAAATTAAAATCAGAAGAAATTTAACAAAGTTATAAACCTTAGCACCGCGAACGTCTAGTCTAGTGTAGTACACCGATAATGCTAATTGTTCATAGATGGCAAGTATAATTAAATTAAGTCGTATACCGAATAAAAGTCGTAAACCGAGCAAAATTTGTTTCGTCCAAACAGGACGTATTCCGAATGGGACGTATTCTAAAGCAGACGTATACCGAGGTTCCACTGTAGTTGTTTTTCCATTTCTTCATCGAAAGTCCTTTGCAGTATACCCATCTGAATGTCCTATGTATACAGTTTTATATTAAAAAAATAATACGATTTATCTTAACCTAATACTACTATAGACAAAAAAAAATATTTTAATGAAATTATTTTATTGTGATATCGTCATATTGCCGGACTGCAATTTTTAATCATATTTTTTAATTTATTAAATTTAAAATATATGCTCTCCCTCTTCAAATTATTGTACTATATCATACTTATCCTGTTAGCAATTCAGTTGTGCCAGTCATCGATCTAACTCCTTTCAGGGGACATTTTTGAATTAAAATAACCTGTCCAGTTTTCATCGGAAGTTCGCATATAATTAATCGGGGCACTTAATCTACCTCCTGCACCTAATCTTTCCATATCTTCGAGTTTCATCTATATAACTCAGTTCTCGAGATAAAGGAAGGGCAGACACACAGACAGACGACTATGAGAATTTATAGGTCTACAATTTTTTTCAAATAGCAGCCCAAAAACCTGAATAAAAAAGTCGAGGGTTTAGTAACGCCATTTCCGTTTTTTTAAGTTTAATTATGTTACGTATTATTAATTAAATTTGTTTACCGATCACGATTCCTGTATTATTTAATTAATTCCTTTTAATTTAATTTATTTTATTTAATTAATCCAGCCAAGAATGCCTTTGCAGCTGTTCATCAACGTCTTAAAGAAACGGGGACATTTTCAATAATCATCCTTGATAGAGAAAAAATAAAAATTTTACGAACACCGAATATGGAAGAGCAAGTTATTGCTAGAATTGGTGAGGATCCTAGTACAAGATAAACAGCTAAAACAATAGACATCACTCATTCAAGTATAACAATCGTGAATACTAATTGTATCCGTACCACTTATAGTGAGTGCAAGCAGTTGTGCCCAGAGACCTAGAGATAGGGTAATTGGTAATTTTTCTTCCAGCCAGAAGAAAACTGTGGTATCCTATCGCTATAAATTAATGTTATTTTTACAAACAAACTAAAATATTTAAGAGCACATTTTATTAATAAAAAAAAATTTTCGCATTTCATTTGTTCAAGGAAAAAAATGGCTGCCTCCTGATCCACACAAGCGCTGAATGACGCTTATTGTGCTACGCGACTTTACTCCACCATTACAATTACAACACTTCTTTACAGACACTAATTGTGTCTGCAAAGGTATATTAATTCTCGTTTTCTGAGGAATATGCTTCTAACAGATGAAGCGATATTGCTGATACATTACATATTTCTACGAAAAAAACAGAAATGACGTCACGACACTTTGACGCTTAATAATTCGCTAAATAAGCTTCGGATCAAAAAAGCTCTCAATATTTTATTCGTGTTTTACTCTTTTATAAGTCTTGAATTCTGGTCAAACATTTTCGAAATAGCTCGTATGCGTTTAATGATATAAATAAGTTAGTTTAACTATTCATCAGTAGATGGCGCCATATATATATCTTTATGAATTTTTTTTCATATCGATATTTATTTATAATAACATTTTTACTAACATTTTCGCCTTAATATTTTGTTTAATTTTCTTTCTGGATTATAAAATATAAGTGATTAAATTTATAAATTCGAAAAACATCGAAATACTTTTGCTTCTTTTTATTACATTTAATATACATAAGTAGCTTGATGATGGAGTTAAAAATTTAATGCTTTTCTATGGACAAGTATTTCTCCATAGGAAAAGCATTAAATTTCTAATGTCATCTTCAGGAGATCGCGTGCATGACTAAAGAGATTACAATCAGCCGTAAATGTTTTTAATAATTAATAATAATAATTTCTTTTAATTAATTAATTAGAAGTTTAGACAAACAATACAATTATTAAATGAAATTTCTAAGAAAATATTAATACTTTCTTTCAAATTGAATAATGGTATAAAAATTATAACCTAGAAAGAATGAATCCAAATAATTAGGCGTGTTTTTTATTTCATGATATTTAAAAAAGGAAAGTGAAAAGTCAAGAAAAAAACAACTAAAGCAGAATCAGGTAGAAAGTGATTTTGAAAATGAGGTTAGGTTCTAGAATATAATCATAGAATACATATTCAAATAATTTTTTTTATATTTGATTTGAAATTTTCAAAATTATAAACATTATAATTTTAAAATTTCTTTTATAAAATATATTTCTTCTTAACTTTTATATATAATAAGACGTATGATGTACCACAATACGTGGTGGTTATGGGGGTTGATTTACCTGATATTTTACACAGATAAAAACTCGAGTATCAATTTTTAATTTGCCATTACTGATAATTTGTTAACCTTTTTTTTTTTGTATGTGTGTTCTTACTTTGCCCAAATTTGGCAGGGCACTCGCCCTCCTCGCTTCCCACCGACTCGTATGCCCATGAGCGCTACTCAATCACCAGTAGAGATGAATGATAATAGTAAAATGATATAATATTGTTTATAAAATTTAAATATCTTGTTATGTTTCATTAACATATTAATGTA